AGCACGAAGCCAGGAGCAGCCCAGACGCAGACACAGCTGGGGTTTTTCCACTCGGCCTGGAGCCGGGCGCACCTTGGCTGCGTTACGTAAGGAGGGGCCCGGGAGCAGAGCACCGGGCTGCGAGCGTGGGGCTGCGTGCCTGCTTGGGGTGCCTGCCTCTGCATGGCTGTCTGCTCCCGGGTGAGCGTCTGTGTCTGCGTGAGTTTAGGAGTCCTGTGTCTGCACATGTCGGTGACTGACGTGTGCGTGTGTGTGCGTGTGTGTGTGTGTATGTGTGTGTGTGTGTGTGTGTGTGCGCGCGCGCTGGACTGTCTGCATGTGGGCATTGTGAGTGTCTGCATGTATCTGTGTGTTTGCGTGTGTGTGTGTGTGTATGTGTGTGCGCGTGCCGGACTGTCTGCACGTGGGCATGTGTGAGTGTCTGCATGTATCTGTGTGTTTGCGTGTGTGTGTGCATGCGTGTGTGTGTGTGCGCTGAACCGTCTGCATGTGGGCATGCGTGAGGGTCTGCATGTGTCTCTGTGGGTTTGCATGTGCGTGTGTGTGTTTGCACTAGTGTATGTGTGTGTGTGTGTGTGCGCGCACATGTGTGCATGTGCTGGGCAAGCCTGTGTCACGTGTGTTTTCCTGCGTGTCCTGCCGTGGCTGGGGGAGGGGAGCCTAGGGGTGGGGGGCGTGGAGTGGGTGTGCTTGGCAGCCCCCTTGGCAGCTCCCGGCTGCAGTCGGTGCCCCTGAGGAGCCGAGGACAGAGGCTGGCAGCCAGCTCCGTCCTCCAAGGCCTCCGCCGGCCAGCACGTGCTGCTGCCCAGAGCGGCTTCTGGTGTCTTCTCTCCCAGCAGCCTTCCTGGGCTGCTGTGTCTGTGGCGTGGCCTCTGTGAGCGTGGGCCTTGTGTCTCTGGGCACTCGCTCTGCCCGTGCCATGCCTGTGGATTTCTCCTTGCTCTGAGTCACAGACACGCAGCCCTGGGCACTGTCTGACCCGAGGTCAGTGTCTGCAGTGCCCCTGCCCGGTCCCACTTTCTCCCTGCACCAGAGTCGCCAGACCAGCCTGGTGGAGACTGGGCCCGGGGCCCAGGGTGCCCTCTGGAGGGCAGGAGAGACCCAGGCCCGGAGGGGGGAGGCATGCATAGGTGCCTCCGAGCCCTGTGGTGACCATCCTGGTGTTGCTGTACGTGGGTGACCACTGCCCCTCCTGGCACCCACACGGTGCCTGTGCCCAGCCCGTTGCTGCGTGCCCGCGAGACAGTTCCCCTGTAGCTTCCCTGGCGCCTGGGACATGGAGAGCCACAGGGCAGCCTTGGGCTCTCGAACTGCTGCCTGAGGCCAGCTGTGTGCGGGAGCAGGGGCCCCTCCTGAGCCCGGGCCTCACGTGCAGGGCTGCCACCCCTCTCACCCCCCCCGTGCCCTGCAGCTAGGGGTGCGGGCCTGGGTCGCGGGCCCCCATTGTGGCGCCGAGTAACGGGGGCGCTGGGTGTGTCCTGTGTCCGGTCCGAGCACGGGGTGTGGGGACGGGGGGACCCAGCGCAGTGGCCTTCTGGAGTGGCGGACGCGGTGAGGGGCTCCGTGCCTCGTCTGCAGTGAGACCCTGAGGGAGGCGAGGGCGCAACTGTCTCTCAGGACCGGCCTCACTGGTGGCCTCCATGGAGAGAAGTCCCACGCGAGGGTCCCCGTTGGCCCCTCGGAGCCAGCATGTCGTGACCTGGCTCTGGGCCCCCACAGAGGTGCAGGCTGGCTCAGCAGCGGCCAAAGTGTCCCCTAGAGGGCGCACTCGCCTCTTTGGTGGCTGGAGGGGCACAGGGTGGGGCGCCGGAGGCTCAGGGGTCACCCCTTTGGGGGGCACAACACCTGTGCCCTTTCAGTGAATGCTTTCATGACACTCACGGGACTGCAGGGTGTGTGTGTCGGGAGGGGGCACCCAGGAGGGCAGAGCCCCTGCTTAAGTCAGAACCCCTCCCCCAATCCCGCAGCCTGACCCACGGGGGTCGCAGTGGTCAGCCAGGAACTTTCTGTTCGCCCACATAAACCTGGATTTGCAGGGCCACGAGCGTCAGTTCCTGTTTCTGGCCAGCAGGTGGAAGCTTCCCTGGCATCTGGGGCCTTGGACCTGGACATCCCACACTGCCCTCCGGGGCGTGGTGGCCCCTGGGCTGGGCTGAGGGCCCGGGACCAACCCACGGGGCTTCGGAGGCAATTCCACACCCCTCCACACCCCTCCACACCTCTCCCTCTCAAGTTTTCGTCCCCCACCCGGAGAATGGGATGACTTGGGCTTCAAACATGCTTTTTTTCCTTTTTGGTTTGGGCCCTACCCAGCAGTGTGCAGGGGATCGTTATGGGATGCCGGGATCGAACCCAGGTTGGCAGCGTGCAAGGCAAGTGGCTCCCTGCTGGACCATCGCACTCTGGCTGTCTTGTTTCGAAGCAAAGTTCCCACAACATGAAATTATCTGTGTGTGTGTGTTTGTGTGTGTCTCTGTGTCTGTGTGTCTGTGCGTACCTGTGTGTGTCTGTGTGTGTTTCTGTGTGTCTGTGTATCTCTGTGTGTGTCTATGTATCTGTGTGTCTGTGTGTGTTGTGTGTGTTGTGTGTCCTTGTGTGTGTCTGTGTCTGGGTGTGTCGGTGTATCTGTGTGTGTGTCCGTGTGTGTCTGTGTGTGTCTGTTTCTGTATGTGTGTATGTGTCTGTGCATGTCTGTGTGTCAGTGTGTGTCTGTGTGTCTGTATGTGTCTGTGTGTCTGTGTGTGTGTCCGTGTGTGTCTGTGTGTGTCCATGTGTGTCTATGTGTGTCTGTATGTGTTTGTCTGTGTCTTTATATGTGTATGTGTCTGTGTCTGTGTGTGTCTGTGTGTCTGTGTGTGTGTCTGTGCGTCTGTGCGTGTGTCTGTGTGTGTGTATGTGTGTTGGGTCACAGCCCTTGGTGCTCAGGGCCTCCTCTAGCTCTTTGCTCTGGAGTGACCTTGGGGAGCAAACCTGGGTCCCCAGCGTGCCAGACAAGCACCCTGTCCACTGTACTACCTCTCTGGCCCCATGGTCGTCATTTTAAGCAGACCGTTTTCTGGCATGTTGTGTGACCCATCGTGCTGGAGTGTCCCTTCCCCTGCCTGTCCAGTGCAAAGACAGACCCAGTGCCCCAAAGGGAAACCCCGTGTCCCCACCCTGGGTGTGCGGGTCCTCGTGGCTCTGAAATGACGGCAGCAGCACTGGACATCACATGCAGAGCCCTCTGAGGCCTCAAGGCTCAGCTTAGCGCTTGGCTCCGGGCGCACAGGAGGCGTCGGGGCCCTTCTCAGGGGACAGAGGGGAGGACTGCGTCCATCAGCCTGCTTTCCTGGCAGTCACCACCTCCCTCTCCCGGCTGCCTGCAGAGCTTCAAAGGGCTGCGTGGCCGAGGATCGGGCTTATCTGGGCCGGAGGAGAGAGTCAAGGCCGAGAGGGGCAGCTGCCCCATGGTGCGGGCGGGCATTAGGGGGAGAGCCGGTGCCCGCTCCATCCTGTGCTCTCCTGGCCGGCCGGCCGGCCCTGCCCATCACACCCACCTCCCGCCCCCATGGGTTCCTGAGTCATTCTTCTTGGGCAGGCAGATCGTACCTGGCACCGAGGGGCACTGGGGCTGGCGGGGAGTGGGCAGGAGCTGCCCGGGTGGGCGGCTAAGTGGGCTGCCTTGCTGTGGCCTCAGTGGGCACCGGGCGGGAGGCGGTGGCCAAGCGGGTCACTCCCCAGTGGAACATGGTGACAGCTGTGCTCAGACGTGGGCCCCGCGAGGTCGGGCGCACTGCAGGCTGTAGCCATTGGGGCTGGACAGGCAGGGGGTGAGGCGGGGAGTGGTCAGCCTGAGGGTTAGCAGAGGGCCGGCAACGCGGACACGGCCCTTCGTGCCTCTCACACCCTCTCTCGGTGGGCAGGCAGTGGGCACAGGCCCCTCCGGGTGTGCCACATCAGGGGCTGCCCGTCCTTCCTCCCACTGCCCTCCTCCTCCTCCTCCTCCTCCTCCTCCTCCTCCTCCTCCTCCTCCTCCTCCTCTTCCTCCTCCTCCTCCTCCTCCTCTTCCTCCTCCTCTTCCTCCTCCTCCTCCTCCTCCTCTTCTTCCTCCTCCTCCTCCTCCTCCTCCTCCTCCTCTTCCTCCTCCTCCTCCTTCTCCTCTTGTGCCTGCTCCTCGCCTGCTCAGTGCTCCCCGGGCCTGTGTCACCCTCTCCCTCTGCCTGAGGCCTGCTCCTGGGCCCTCACAAACGGACAGTGAGACCCCAGGAGGGACCGAAGGGGAAGAAATGGATGGGCCAGACGCCGGCTGATGCCTGATGCCCAGGAAGGAATCTCCCGCCTCTCTCCTGGCCGCAGGAGCTGTGTGCCCTCAGGGCTCCGAGGATCTTCCAGGCGGGCTGGGCACCTGCCTGGGTCCCCATCAGGGAAGCAGGCGGTCCCGGTCACACGGCACCTCCTGGGTTCCTCAGCCCCTTGTCCCCCACTGAGTCACGGTGACAGGGGTGGGGAGCCTCAAACTTGGGCTGGAAAGAGTCCATCCGGGGCGTCTGCCACCTGTGCCCATGGCGTCTCAGCTGCTGGACTCTTCCCACAGGGCCCAGGGCTGTCCACCAAGGTCACTACTGGGAGTTAAGGGCGGGGCTTCTTGCCCACTGTGTGGCCGTGGGTGTGTGAGGGGAGTAGGTGCTGGACCCCCGCAGAGCCTAGGGATTCCCCTGGGGCCCCTGACGCCCCCACCCAGCCCTTCCCCGGGGCCCTGCCACCCTCCCTGTCCACCCCTTTCCCCAGCTGTGATGCGGTTCTCAGTGGTTTTAAGTTTGCCGAAACTCGGGACCTGGGAAGAGGCACTTTGGGGCAGGAGGCAGATGCCGCCCGGCTTCCTCCCTGCCCTGCCCTGCCCTGCCCTGCCCACTCTCTCCCGCCTTGCCTCGCAGGACAGCCCCCGGCCGCCCCGCCCCGCCCCGCCCTGCACACGCCCCGCCCGGCAGCTCCCAACTCACGTCCTCTGCTCTCGCCCCCAGGTTACGGGCACGCGGCCCCGGGCACCGACGCGGGCAAGGCCTTCTGCATGTTCTACGCGGTGCTGGGCATCCCGCTGACGCTGGTGATGTTCCAGAGCCTGGGTGAGCGCATGAACACCTTCGTGCGGTTTCTGCTGAAGCGCATCAAGAAGTGCTGCGGCATGCGGGACACGGGGGTGTCCATGGAGAACATGGTGACCGTGGGCTTCTTCTCCTGCATGGGGACCCTGTGCCTGGGCGCCGCCGCCTTCTCGCAGTGCGAGGAGTGGAGCTTCTTCCACGCCTACTACTACTGCTTCATCACGCTCACCACCATCGGCTTCGGCGACTACGTGGCGCTGCAGACCCAGGGCGCGCTGCAGCGGAAGCCGCTCTACGTGGCCTTCAGCTTCATGTACATCCTGGTGGGGCTGACGGTCATCGGGGCCTTCCTCAACCTGGTGGTCCTCAGGTTCCTGACCATGAACAGCGAGGACGAGCGGCGGGACGCCGAGGAGCGGGCGTCGCTGGCCGGCAACCGCGCCAGCGTGGTCCTGCACCTGGCCGAGGAGGCGCGGCGCGGCCGGGCGCGGGGCAAGGCGGACGTGAGTGACCTGCACTCCGTGTGCTCCTGCGCCTGCTACCGGCCGCCCGAGCTGGGGGGCCGCCTGGCCCTGCACCCCAACTCCTTCAGCGCCAAGCTCGCCCCCCACTACTTCCACTCCGTCTCGTACAAGATCGAGGAGATCTCGCCAAGCACACTGAGGAACAGTCTCTTCCCGTCGCCCCTCAGCTCCCTCTCCCCCGGGTTACACAGCTTTACCGACAGCCACAGACTCGTGCGGAGACGCAAGTCTGTGTAGGCGCGGGGGGGCTCGCGGACGCTCGGCAGCGCGGCCTCCCCGCCTCCTCGGACCCTGGCCGCCAGCCCCGCGCCTTTTCTTCCCCGGCGATGAGGCGGAGGACGATTCCCAGCCTTGGCCCCGGGCTCCCTCGGGTCTGTTCTTCCCCGCCGTTCCCCCAAGACCGAGCCGCCGAGGGGAGAACCAGGCCTGTCCCGTCCGAAGCTGGCCTCTAGCATGAAGCATGGATTCCTTCTCCCTTCCTCCCCGACGTATGCCTTACACTCTCCCCAGCGGGCCCAGCGCGCGGGCAGCTTGCAGGACAGGTATGAGACCCAGACCCCAGATGGCGCGGACAGGATGCCGTGGCCCCGGGCGCTCGCCTGCCCGCAGACCTTGTTTTCTCCCCTGAAAGGGGTGGCTGTGTGCACACGCGTGCGTGTGTGCGTGCGTGTGCATCTGTGTGCACACGAGCGTGCGTGTGTGTGCACGCGCGCGTGTGCGTACGTCTCTGAGTGCGTGTCTGTGCGCACGCGTGTGTGCATGTGTGCGCGTGTCTGTGTGCGTGTGCGTGTGCGCACACACGAGCCGTGTAACCACGTAACACAAAGTGGAAGTGTCAGGTATCCGTTTTCCTTTCTCATCCCACCGTCGGGTCACCAGCCCGCCTTCCACTGCTTCCAAACAAAATGGGAAGGCGAAGCCCATGGTTTTCTTTTCTTTGAAATTCCATCTCACCCGACCACGTGTGTTCCAGGGGCCGCCCTCACTCCAGTTGCACCACGGCCGTGATTCTCAGCTGCTCGGTTCCAAGTGGTATTCGTTTCTCTTCAGGCGGGGGGCAGATGGGCAAAGGCCGTGGATTGCTTCTTTCCAGATTGCCGGTCCAAACACATTTTGAAGCGTGCGCTCTGTTAGGCTGGTCATACGGGATCAACACAAAACACAGGCTGGCAGAGAGCCCACGCTAGTATTAAAGGTGTTTTACTCCCGGGCCCGGGCGGGAGCAATGGGGAGCGGAGAGCATGGGCCTCCCTGCCCCTGACCTGTCCACGGCAGGGCCTGTGTGGCACAGGCCTAGGTGGACGCGCTTTCTTTTTTAATAAAATATCCCAGGACACTCCTGGGGCATCTGCGCACGCCAAGGAGGCGGGTTCTCTCTCAGCATTACGTGCTGGCTGCTGGGGCATCTCCAGGGATGGTCTCGGGGGCCGTGCCCTTGGGGGAGCCCGGGGAGCCCACCCACTCCTGCAGGGCCCCGTGGGCTGTTGGGGGGGGGATGCAGGGGAGTGTGCTCTGGGTCGGGGCGTGCTCCCTTCCCCTCCTCTGCAGGAACCATGCGGGGCTCCGGGCTGGAAGCGGGCACGGGCTGAAGCACCCAGAAAGCTGTGGGGGAGGGAACTCCATGGGGTTCCCAGAGTGGAGAGGCCGCTTCCCACAGCCTGGGCCTGCGTGCAAGGTTCCAGGGCAGAGATGACACCACCCCGCCCCGGCCCCCCACCAAGCATTTGAACCACAAGACTGACCCCCTTGGGAGCACGGGAGACCCTTCTGAAATCACCGCACATCTCTGTTGAAACCCGGGGACCTGCCTGGAGGAGGAGTCAGGGGACTTCAGGCTCTCTAGTTCCAAACACCCATTCCTGAGGTCAGTGCATTTAGGATGTTTCCTCCAGGGCCCTAAGAGTCTGGGTCAGAGTCAACCAGCTGACGGCTCCTGAATGGGGGAGAGGCACTGGATACTGGCCGGTAGGGGCTTGGCACAGCCGATCAGCGTTTCCGTGTGGGCCGGGATGAGGCCCTGGGAGTGGGGGGGTCTCTTGAACCTGGCACCGTGCTCTGCGGTGCCACCCCCAGTTTCTCTGGAGCTGCTGCGTCTCCCACTCCCTCTCCTGCCCAGAAGTTTCCTCGGTCTGTGAGAGACCCGGGCGGGTGGACGGTGCCCGAGACAGGGCCCTGTGCTCCCGGGAAGGGCCGCGTTCCCTCCTGGCCGTGTTCTCCGGCTGACCCCCGTCCACCCGTCCCACCACCGTTCCTCGCCCTAGATGTTTTGGACGCAGCCGGGCCCTGAGCATCCCGGGAGCAGAGTCCTGGGGCGTTATCTCTGGCTGGACCTGACGGCTTGGCCTCTAATCTGGGTCAGCCCAGTCCAGCACCCCCAACCCCACCCCCCAGCTTCTCCCTCAGCAGAGGACGAAATTGGGTTCCGGAAGACAAGGCATGTCTGAGCTCAGGGCCGGAACGTCCAAACTGCCCGTGGCTCCTCCCGGCTCTGCCTGGGAGCTGTGTGCGTGTGCAGTGTGGTGTGTGCGTGTGTGTGAGTCTGAGCGAGAGCGCCTCTCCTCCGACCTGGTGCTTCACACACCTTTTCCACAGGCTCCTTCGCTGGGGCCCGGGTCCGAGCAGAGCCCCGGGACTGTGACTTTGCTCACAGAGGGTGATTGGGCCTGCCGGTCTCCTGCTGTGGGCTCCCATCCAAGCTGTGGTTGGCTGGGACCCTAAAGGCTGGGAAAGGGGCGCCCGGGCCCGGCTGCTCCCGTGGCTGCCCAGAGCCCCTGGTGTCCACCACGCTGTCCCCAGGCACCTGGTGGGACCGTCTGGGTGAGATTTGCGTGTCTTGAGCACAAAGTGAACTCGTTGTACAGACGTTTGTGCTTCTGGTCCCCGGGACATTTGGAGGTTGAACTGCCAAAACCAAACATGGAGTCCTTCATCCTGCAGGGTGCGGGGCCCGAGGGGGTTGGGGCCCGGGGTGTCCCATCCCTGGCTGATGCACTCTGGCTTCTCCGAGCACTGGCACCCCGGGGCTGCTGGTCTGGGCAGGCCCATCCTTCACATGGCTGAGGTCGGCTGGGGGCTGCCCCCACCTTCAACGGAGCTCAGGCTGCAGGCCAGGGAGGCGCTGGCAGGCCTCGTGGGGGCTTGCGGGAAGAACAGGTTTGGATAATCGGGTTTCCAGGGTCAGCGGATGCAAACAAGCCTGGGCTCCTGGATGAAGGCCCCGAAGCTTCCCGGTGCTCATGGCCACTGGTGGTCACTTGTCCCCAGTTTTTCTGCAGTGGGCTGGCGGCGCTGCACCCCTTCTGTCACCCCTGGTCCCCGAGCACCAAAGCAGGAGTCCCCCAGGAAGATGTGAAGGTGCCTGTGTGTCAGTCTTTGGGCTGTGGGTGGAGATTCACGCAGGTGCCGGGAGGACGTGCTGGCCGCATGGACCGTGGCCCCGCCCCGCCCCGGCCCTCGAGGTGCTGCTCAGTTCCCCAGGTACCCCAACACCACTATCCCAGCCCTGCTCATGCTCAGAGCACTGGGCTGAGCACCCGGAAGGCGCTGCTGTGACCCAACCCCCAGCACCTCTCCTGCACCTCCCGGGCCCCCACCCGGCCAGGGCCCTACGCAGCGTGGACACGGTCCCTGTCACCTCTGAAGTGCAGCCCCGAGCTCAGGGCTCCAGGGGGCAGTCCAGTCCGTGCCGCGCCCGTCCCGGCCCTAGGAGTGCCTGCTGGTTATCTGAGAGTTCCCCGGAGTAGGACTGTGTGGGACACGCTGGTGACCGTGGGTGACCGGGTGTGGTGCCTGGACACTTGCAGTGGGCAGAGGGGTCCCCCGGCCTTCCGGGACCAAACGGTCAGTGCTGTCCGGGCCTGGGGCGTGGAAGACCAGGCTTGGGGGGAGGGGCTGCTCCTCCTTTGCAGGGAAGCACAGTCTCTCGTGCCCTGTAGGCAGACGAAGCAAGTGGGGGTGTAGGCAGTCTCCCCGTGCTGCTGGCCCGGCCTGCTGGGAGTGGACACGGGGCCTCGCTGACCTCTCGAAGCCCGTCCTGGCCCTGCTCCCTTGGCCACAGGAGCACCGGAGCAGGTCTGGGGCCTGGCTGAGCAGTGCCTGGGTTCCCGAGGTTTGCTTGGTGCAGCTCCATCCCACCCCTAGGACCCCCACCTCTCTCTCCCAAAACCCCTCTCCCACCATTGGTTGGACATTGGTCATCAGGTGGTAGCGTGGAGCAGGCTGAATGTAGAGATGAGTGGGCCGTGTGCAGAAATGAGTGGGCCGTGTGCAGAGTGGGTTGGGCCATGAGCAGAGACAAGGGGGGGCGTGAGCTGTCCCCAGCCAGACATGTTCAGACCATAGGTGATGGGTGTGTCTTGGACTGCAGGAGCACGTTGGTGGCCTTCCCCTGGCAGTGGGTGGGCCCATGACGAGGAAACCTTCATGGTGGAAGGGCTCCAGGGAGGTCACAGGGGACACATCGCAGTGGGTAGTGCCCTGGGCTCTCCCTGCTCGAGCCTGCCCAGAACGGGGCAAGAGCAGAGTGGGGAGGGGGCCCTTGCACCCCTGAGCCAGCCTCTGCCACTCCCAGGTGGGGCACCTTGTCTGTCTGGGTCTCAGTTTCCCCACCTCTGAGACAGGTGACAGGAACTGGGCTGCCCCCATGCTCACACTGGGCCCCCTCTGCCACAGGGCTTGCTCCTGGGCGCTGACTTGTGTGTGTGGGGGGGCAGGGAGCAGAGGGCACGGGTCTGCCCAGCGTCCTCCTGACCTGGGGTCCTGTGGCCCAGCATGCCACGGAGGACACATCAGGGCCCACACATGCGGCACAGGGCGCCTCCCACTTCCCAGCTCAGGGCCAGTTCCCGGCGGCCAGAGTGGAACCATCCCAAGGTCCCGTCCCTTCTTCTGCAGGAGGAAACCCTGGCTGTGGGCCTGGCATCTCCTGGGATTCATTTCTGGGGTGCCCTGTTGCTTAGGCAGCTGCTCGCGGTCACTCTGCTCTTTCAGACAGATGGATGGACAGATGGACAGCCTGGCTACAGGCACATGCGTGTCCTGCCTCTGTGTCATACCACACACGGTCAGGTCACCTCTCCTGGGGGAGGATGCCGAAGTGTAAGGGTGTCAGCTGAGTGTGCCCCATTTGTGAGCCTTTAAACATCTGGAGGATAGAATGTCCTAGAAGGATGAGATAGAATGTTCTGGAAGGATGAGGCAGACCGTTCTAGAAGGATGAGGTGGAATGTTCTAGAAGGCCTGGGTTC